GGGGGGGGGGGGGGGTGAGCGCTGACTCACCTGCGACGTCACAGTGGCCAGCGCTGCCACATCACCGCGGGGTATGGGGGCGGTACGCCGACCAGCCCGCAACCGCTGTGGAGGGAGGGGGTGTCCTCCATAGCGCAACACGTCACAATATGATACTTTTCTTCAGTCTTCAGTCCAAGTTACAAGCATTTAAATATTTTGTGCATCCTTTTCTTTGTTTTATTTAATAATGCTGTCACTGCTAAGGCTATATCAGGATAATAATCAGACTATACAGTGTTGAATAGTACAGCAACTGATGAATGATGAACTGGAAAGGATTAGGAAGGAATCAATCATGGCCTAAGATATTATCACAGCATTTGCTTGGTGGGAGGAACCCACATTAGTATTTTCCCTTGAAAATGATCCTAAACATTACAGCTTATCTCATACATCAGGAAGAAATAATGAACTGAGGTAAATATCAGAACCACGGTTGCCTATATTTAATTTTATTTTGTCCCTTATATTGGATATAACTGTTTACCTTAATTTGCAAATAAATAAAAATGTTTAAATAAATAAATAAATACACTGTTAGTTAAACAAAAAAATTTTTAAAAATATTCCTTACTTTCTCTTCTGTAAACCACTATGCATCTTATACACCAGAAAATATGATAAATACAACAAACAGATACAACACTAATCACATCACCCTGATGATAGAGGCAAAGAGAGTCTCCAAATATATGGGCATCCAAGAAGACTTCACCACATGACAGTGTTACATAAAAACAACATACTAGAGTTTTACAGGTACAGATTATCTTACCAGCAACATGTCTCAGGAACTTCTCTGTTACCACATGGTAATCATCTGGCAAAGCAGGAAAATCTGCTCCATAGAAGAGAGAGCCCAGTTGGTAGGTATCTATACATTTGGCTAGGTCTGCCCTGGAGCTATGTTCCATGCTGCGCACATTAGTTACTGAGGCACGCGACACTTGAAAGTGAAGGGATTTTGGACGATCTCGTTGATTTGGATGATCTGCAGAGCTCTCAAATATGACCTGCAACATGTGTGGGTTGATTGGAACACGTAAAATATGAGAAGATAAAATGTTCTGCATTCCTCCTTCTTAAGCAACAGAATCTGGCTTGAATACTGTAGAGAAGAGAAAAATCTTAGTCCTGCTGGAATTTGAACCCCAGACATCCACACCATAGTCCCATCACTATTCTGAATGAGCTACCCCAACTCCTCTTAATGTTACATCAGTTTGGAAATAAAAAATTTAAATGAAACTAAAATAGAATTAAAATATAATGAAGTTTACTGTCTTCTGGAACATGATGCCATGCAGTCTGGTGGAAAATTATCAAAGTTTCAGAGGAATGTGCTGCTTTCATCTCCCTGTCTCTTTCTACCTTGAAGCAGGCTCCTCTAAAACAATGGTAATTATTCACTAGCCTACATGGTAGCAACAACCAGAACACTGTAACCTGCAGAGTCACGACAGTGAGAACATGAAACCTATTCTCAGTCTACTTAGCAGACCACTTTAACTCTCATCTCTCTAACTTGCAAACATTATCAAGCTGCACAGTATGTGACACACCTACTTATGGCCATATTTTAAGAAAATAAATATTTTTATGAGATCTGAAGTGCTTATTCGCATGAAGATTATCACCTTCTCAGATGTGACACTGTGCTGTTCGACAGACAAGTACCAACATATCAGTGGAACCTGCTGCTGTAATCTAAATCTTCAATCCTGAAGATGAATGCAGTTCATTCTCCCACAATGTTGGTACCTATGATACCTGTCTCCCAAGCATCATAGCATCACATCCCAGAACAGCATAATCTAAGTATTTTTATCCATTATCCAAAAGAGAGCATCTTCAATTAGCAAATGTAATTATGTAAATAACATCCTAAAGCAATAATCAAAATCTAATGCAGTTTGATGTTCCACACTAAAAGTAGTGGAAAGTTGTTTCTGAAAAAACGTCTTAGTTACATTTATGTACACTTATACTCACGAAAACTACTAAATGACTTTTGTATTTCTTGAATTATTTAATAACACTGTGTCAAATGCATAGGTTATAAAGTTATTTCTGAAAAAACGTCTTAGTTACATTTATGTACATTTATACTCACGAAAACTACTAAATGACTTTTGTGTTTCTTGAATTATTTAATAACACTGTGTCAAATGCATAGGTTATAAAGTTATTTCTGAAAAAACGTCTTAGTTACATTTATGTACATTTATACTCACGAAAACTACTAAATGACTTTTGTGTTTCTTGAATTATTTAATAACACTGTGTCAAATGCATAGGTTATAAATGTCAAGGTTTGGAAAATGTAAAGGGTGTGACAAAAGTTTATTTTAAGATAAGATAAAGGTAAAGTTGTCCCTGTACTTAACTAATTAAGCACACTGCCATGAAGGCGTATGGAGGAATGGATGTATAGATCCACGTTTCCTTGACCTCGGCACTAGGTGGAGGTGTACGGTCAGCTTCACACCTTGGCCACTTTAGCCCCGGGGAAAGAACCCCCGGTATCCACCAGATAGGAGGTTGGGTGGACCCCAGAACCAATCTGGACGGAATGCAGAAGTGAAAATTCTTGACCCTACCAGGACTCAAATGCTGACTCCTCAATAGCCCAGCCTGTAGCCAGTCGATATACTGACTATGCTATCCCAGCTCCCCATTTTAAGGTACTATATATTCATTTATTTGAAATTTTTAGAAAACAATGGAAAATCTCTAGGAAGAACAGCACTTTGAGTAGGTAATTTTCCAATACGTCTATGAACTAAGTTAAATGGGGAATACTGAAATATGAAGCAGTTGTAACCATCTCACTTGAGATAATGTTTCCCATGAAATCTATATTAAAATTAATTTTGGATTTACAGACTTTCATATCAGAATAAATTGTAAAGGGAAACATCCCTTCCACATTTTGGGGAATCACTGTATTAAGTTTTGATCAGAGCATGAAGAAGTCTATCCTATTTTTCACTATGATAAACACTTAGTGAGTCAGGCAGAAATGCATTAAGAACTTCATGAAAAATGTCCGTTATTGTTATCCGATTTTAACCACAGTTGTAATGTGTTACCATATTTTAGTTGACACTCCGATTCTAAATTTCATGACAAATGCTATTTCCCAATCTGTTTTTAACCATGCCATTTCCATCATTCCATTCTGATTAGAAACAGTCAGCCATTAATTATCTTCCAAGTCTTACACGTGAATGACATGTTTGTCTCACAGATAATTCTTTTCTTCATAACATACAGAGGCCCTTCTGATTGCAAGAGCCTAATTTGCAGCTTATTCAACTTATATATCAATGCATCACTTGTGCCACACATTGTACACCCTTGAACAAAACACTTTTAGAGCTTTATTTATCTTAAACTAACCAAATTAAGCAATATGCTTGGTGGTTGCATACAACCTGGATGCTGCCAGCAACCCATTAATCTTCAATGCACAATGGATAAAGAAGTATGACATACTCTTGGCATGATGGCTTCAAGCTTGACATCCATATGCATTAATGCCGCAGCAGCCTGCTGTCGGTCGGGGCTGGAGGATAACAACGACTGATGCAGATTCAGAGCAAACGAGCTGAGCCACAGACAGCTGCACAGGTCAAAGTGAATCTGAATTGGGTTCACTTGCACGTAGAACTTTGGGGAAGGCACTAAAAACACAAGAAACATACACATGGAAAGAAGCAGTCAAACTGCAAGAAAAAGTTCCACATAACAAAACAATAAAAAATGTCCATATCAACATGTGTCTGGAAACATTTAATTCATGAGTTGTAGCTGAAAGAGTATATTTATAGCAAGTGTTCAAACTGTCCTTCATGAAAATCAATGTACTCATCGACATGTCTCATTATGGACTGCCACATCCATTTGAAGATGCTGGGTAGCTGCGGATAGTCTGGCAGGCATCCACAATGTGATGATGAATTGTCTCTTCATTGTCAACAAGAGCTGCATACACAAGGATGTTTAGGTGTCACCACAGGTAAAAATCGTGAGGATTCAAATTTGTTGTGAAGCGTGGAGGACATGCAGCGGGGTCCTCTTCTACCTATCCATCAGTCATGATAGATGTTACTGAGAACATCTCACACAGTGCAGCTAAAATGTGCCAGAGCACCACCACGCAAGCGCAGTATTCTTTCACCTATAACTCACAAATTAAATGTTTCCAGATACAAGTTAATATGGACATTTCTCTTGTTTTGTTATGTGGAACTCATGGCCAAAGTTTGTCCACACCTTTCAGTTACACCCTATATTTATGAAATACCTCAGTTAAATATTTATCATTCCTGGTTTACCATCAAATTAAAATTTGTGAGATATGAAATTCTTACAGGAATATCAAGATTACAGTTCTCTGGGACCACATTCAAGGAAAGCCTAAAGACTGGCATAGCAGGTTGCCCTGAAATGCTGGTATCCATCTATCAAATTAGATGGTGTCACATCCCATAAAACCACGTTCTTAATATATACCACTGTATACCACATTCATCCTTTATGAGGATGCTATTCTACCCAACATCCATATTCCACAATCCCTTGGGAACATTCTTCTGCTGTGAAGATGCACACAGCAGGTTCCCCCAAAATATTGGCACCCTTCTAACATATTACATGGTGTCACACCACGCATCCAAGATTCAATTACAGGTGCACCAATATAATTACAGAAGACAGGTTACATGACAAGACTAAACATGAATTGCTTAAGATACACCTATAAGAGAACAGAGAACTGCAGCATACTGTAAGTTCACAACTCCTGAGCCATACTAACATATTTGATTGAAGAAATGGATAAGTTAAAGAAATACTGAGACAAATGCAATGAATTCACATTTATAAATTTTATTTTATTACATATGAAAGAACTTTACACTAATTTCAAAAATTAAACAAAAGTAAAAACATTTAATAATTCACTAATACAAACATCAGAATTTATAAAATAAGTCAACATTTCTTTCAATTAGAATGCAATCACTGAAAATCTTTACTTACCTAAAAGAAAGACATCCATCATCATCATCGTACACACTATTAACATATATACACACACACACACACATACATTTCTTCTCATCACATGATGGTTGGCATGACTGCACCATTAAATTGTTACTGCCTAAACAATAAACTTGCCTTGTTTTGTCTTCGTTGGTATGTGTATTTTGTCTCTTCCCTCAAGCTTATTTTATAACTGGCTTTTGGGTCACTGAGTAAGCACCTAAATATAATATATTGAAATAAATCGTTGTTGTTGTTGTTGTTGTTGTTGTGATTATGATTGTGATTATTATCTCACCACATAATGATTGGCATTATTACATTAATTGATATGTTGCTGCCTAAATGGTACAAGTTGCCTTGTTTTATTTTTTGTGTGTATTTGTTTTGTTTCTCATTTTGCTTGTGCTTACATTATAACTGCCTTTTGGGCTGCTGAATAAACATGTAAAAAAATAAGAATTGAACTCAATTACTTTAGTTGCTTCCTTTTATCATTATCATCATAACAAGATGGATATCACTATGATTTATAAGAGCAGAACAAAATTCCTGAAAGCATAAGTACTTTATGGGTTATCAGTACCATTTTGTTCATTCAAGTTTAATAATAATCATACAATTTAATTTCAAGACTCATCTTTCCCCAAAAATGAATTATATTTTATAGTACTGACACTACAAATAACAGTTAATTCATGTTGCTCCCTCTGAAGCACAGGGCATCTGTGAAATGCTTCCACTGGATCCTGTCATCAGCAATTCCTTCAACCTTGCTACATGTCTTCCCCACTCCAGTGGCTTCCTCCTCGACATCCTCATAAAAATGACAGTTCATGGCATGGTTGCTTACAATGGAAAATGTGAAGTCAATGTAAACACTGCATAACTTACGTGGGAATGGGATATCGCCTGGGTAGTAGTAATATGTGAACTCTGCATGCAGAATGCAAAGTTCCTCTGGCATAGAATAGCGGTCCCGATCGCCTATAAAATAAGAAAATGTGAAGAATGGCTTTCATTTCATTGCTCTAGTACTATAACAGCATTATGCAACCTTTTACCAGAGTACTATATCAGACAAAGACATTTAAACATCTGCTGTATAATACCAGACATGAACGCAGACAGATGAAGTACTATGACAACAATAGTACATTAAATTAAATGAGTGTATTCTCATACAAGTTTCATCTAATTAGCTACAATAATTTAAACAACTCTTAATAAATACAGAAGCTGGGATAACTCAGTCAGTGCAGAGATTAGGCTATGAGCTGGATGCATGAGGAATCAAAGTTTGATTTCTGACAGGGTCAAGAGATTTTCTCTTCTCCACTGATTGGCCCTGAGGTCCACCCAGCCTCCTATCCAATGAATGCCAGGGACATTTCCCCAAAGAAACTGACTGGAGAATAAAGCTGACCACTCACTTCCACCTAATGCCATGGTTAAGAATGTGTGGAGCTATAATTCCACTCCACCATAGGTCTTTGTAGTGTGGTGCTTATTTAAGCATAGGAACAACTTTACCTTTTACCTTTCCCTTAATACNCAAAATTTGGTGAAAATGCGACACAGCATTATCATTAAATAAATCTGTAGCGCGCATAGCCACTACCTTATTAGGGTGATGCTTCTCAATGTACGAGGCAACAGTTTCCCATGCTTTCAGCATTTCTCTTATTGCACCAGAAGATTGTTGCTTTGCTGTTACCTCCTCCTCCTCCTCTGACAAACTCTCCTCCACAACTTCTTGCTGTGAAACACAATACAAGTCCAAATCGTGCAAATCGATGATGTAGACCAATTGTATGTGCGTGCTAGATCAGCCACGCTCACACCTCGTTCTCGTTTTTCAATGATTTTACGTTTCATTTCTACGGTTATTTTTATTCTCTTATGGCTGTCTTTTTGCAGCTTTTTCTTCAGGGACATTTTTGCAAGGGTTATTAAACTCTGCACACAAAAAAATCGCAAATAATATGCCTGAACACAAGTTTGGAAAAATGTGTGATCACAAGTGACACTAACGGAACAAGCGCTAAACACAGACTGATGTAGCAAGCGAACAATCCGGGACTTCCCCTCTCGTTGCTCATTATGCAAAACGTCGCTCGTTAAGCGATTAATTTTTTTTTACAATTTGTTTACTCGTTAAGCAAGGTTCCATTGTATATATTAAATTTGTATGAGTTGTAACTTCACTTTTAAGACATCAGAACACCGAGTGAAAAATTTGTATATAAATTAATCAACTGAAATTTAACTGATGTTTCGGAGGAACATGTCGCCTCCATCTTCAGGGTCAAAAAATTAGCCAAGCAAGAAACTAGTGTGAAGCAGGTAGCAAGCACAGCTTCATGCTGGTTTATAACTTGGCTTATTCTTCGACCATAAAGATGGAGGTAACACGTTCCTCCAAAACTTTGTGTGATTTTCAACAGACTACATGTGTTATACCCCAAATGATATAACTCTTTTCAACCACCACTGTGAGAACCTCAAATCCTATCAATTAATCAAGACAAGATATTAACTGAAACCTAGCAACTCAGTGCATATGGACAAATATTTCCACCTGCATACATGAACTAAACATGAGAACTTTATCAACTCATTGCCTGAAAGAGATCAATTTATAACAGCAATTTAAATATATTAACTTTTAAAATAATACTATGGACCCATATAATGAATGCCTAAGAGACAAAAATTTTTTGTCACTAATTAAAAATTAATGCACTTCATAACTATGGTGGTTCTGAACTTTCATGCAACATTTTCTCATGTTTAATAAATGTTGTAAGATTCAGGTTTCTCACAGCAGTAACAAAATTGTGGTCTTTTGGGTTGCAATGCCATGTAGTTTTGTACACAGGTACCAATGTTTAAAAAAAAGTGCTACCTCCATCTTCAGGATAGAACCCTGAATGCTGTACNGCCACCGCCACCACCACCACCACTCCCTCCTTCCCCCCTCTGTCACTCTTAGTGCATGCATGTCCATCTCTCTCTCTCTCTCCCTGTCTGTCTGCATCTGTGTGCATGTGTTTGTGTCACTCTGTCACCTAATTCTGAATGAACACCAAGTGAAATTGGTTCTTGGCCCATGACCTTGCAGAAAATCACCCCAAAACACATCACTGTTCATTCATAACTTGGCACACAACAATTCAGTCATTTATTTGTACAGTGTCAAACAGTAGAATGACTGGTAAATAATGAATAGGGAAGGAAACAATCATGGCCTAATAAGAGCACTATAACAGCATTTGCTTAGAGGGAGTGAGCAAAACCATGTGAAAGTCAGAATAGTCAGTGTCCTGGCATACTCTTCAAATTGCACAACTCCAGAATAAACATCACAAGCCTTAGTGCTTTAGCAGACTCATTTGATGCCACACAGCAACAAACTGAGCAAAGAGCACAGAACCTGGATAGTACGCCAGTGCACTTGTCATATTGTTACAAAACAGTCTGGCATATTAAGATTACAGTCTTCTGGAATATAAAACTGTGCAGTTTGGTAGACATGTTCCAATGTTTTGGAAGTACATGCTGACTCCATCTTCAGGGTAGAAGTTATATTTTAAAGATGGAGGCAGCAGGCTCCTCCAGAAGTATGATATCTCTTTACTAGACAACAAAGACTCATCTCGGAAGACCACATTTTTAATATTCAATGCTGTAAGGATGTCAAATTTCATACAATAACAAATATCTGTATCATTTCTTTCTAAGCTCTTATACACCAAAACGTAACATCCTCTGCATACAGACATGCCATGACTTCAGAACTAGCCACATAAATAATGAACTGTCATGCTTCTACCATGCATATCTACCTTGTAACAAAAACAGTAACTGTTATTTATATAATACCTGGACCAACTTTAGTCTTCCTCTTATGCTGAGCTAAAGTAAATGAAAAGAAAAAAAGAGACAGACGATATTCAATCCTGTTATACACAACAATCCTAATTAGCATCATCCTTCAGTTCTCTAATTGTGTAACATAAAACAAAGGCATCATGTAATAACCACTGAAGATCTCAAACTCATAGATCAGATGCATATTTCTATATTCACAGTATCACATTTTTTAAGAGAAAGTACATGGAACACTGGTGTGTACTACATGATACGCTGAAAGCAATGATATGAAACCTTCACACAAATATATCTTACCTGAACTCCTCAGTGCTTCACATAAAACCATGAAACCACCACTTAACATTCCTCAATTTCAGGTTCTCCCTCAATTATCCCACTGAAATAATCTCATTATTAAATCATCTCCAGTTAAGATTTTTCGCATTTAATGTTCAATTGCACGGTCCTCAAAGAGGCCTTATGCAGGGATTTTACTGTAAATACTTCAGGCTTGAGTGTCATAATTTCTATCCGATGCACTTAGTACACCAGTAATGCCACTAATTTCAGGTATCCTTTGCATGACTGATTTATAATATATTCTACAAGTTTTTCACATGCGCTGAAAGGTGACCTTCAAAGTCCATTTACTAAAAGGATGTTCATTCTACCAAAAAAAGAGTGTATTTTCACTGTCATACCACAGACAATACAGCCAGAGAAAAAGTGAATTACATGGAAAAAATACAGCATGTGTTTTAACTTGGACTATTGGTATTTTGGAGACTGTCCATTGGCCAGTTCCTTTTAAACTAAAATGTTTCAGGAACTGGCACAGTTTTGGAAACTGGTTCAGTTTCCAACTACAAGTGTATGGGGGAAGTGGAGGCAAGGTTTCCACTCTACCGGACTCACTTAAGTGAACTAACGACGACTAATATTTTAGAAACTGTCCCCTAGCCTGAGTTTTATTGAGGAGGGTAAGGTTCCTACTCCATTGGGTTCACTCAAGCGAATTAATCTCTATCACTAGATACCAAAAGAAGCTCTGAACAGAGAATATATTCTGCTGACATCAGAATTCAACAGCAGGAGATAAGATAAAATTGCAAATACAAATTATGAAAAGAACTGCACGAAAATGAAAACGGAATCCCATAAAGTTCAGAATAAAATTCTTCAAATAGTCACCATACACAAATCCTAAAAGAACAAAGCATAAAAAAAAAACACGTTTTGTTAACTGCTTAACCTGATACTACAGACTCACAAATTACATGAATATATTTGTTGTAGCTGGTTTACCTGCTATAAATTCTTTTGGTGTCTGCTTGCGTTGTGATGTCGTTACTTGGTAGAGGGTGAAATCCTGTATCCTGAGTACTACACAAGTTGTCATCAGCTTGGCCAATTGTGTGAGGACATAATTTTTCACAGGGTTACCAGTGCTACCATGTGTTCCTGCTGAGCCCTTCTTCTGTGATTCCTAATCAACAGAAAACAATAAAGGTAACTTCAGAAGTGATACTTATATCAAAACTTCTAAGCCACGTTCTACAAAGCCCTCAAAAGAACGTCTTAGATAGCATTTCCAATACTTTACTGTAGGTATAAAGTTTAACACAATGTGCACAGCTAGTAACATATTATCAATGAAGTACATACCAATGAGTGACAAAAAACATTAGGTACTTTACTGATGCAGTTTACAATCTATAATATGCTTACAACTTTGTATAAACTATGGGCTCTGCTTCATGAATTCACAACAAATATCATAACACTAAATTTTTAAAAAAGAGCTATAGGTTCCAAAAAGCTCTTCTAAATAAGGACATTCCATGAAAATGACAACAGCTGACGGCAAAAATAATACTGTTAGGCGGATCCACCTATATACTGACTTAGTATTACTTGCAAACAGTGTATATGGACTCACAATCTCATGCACCACCTCAGGATTTTATGGCAAAGAGACATATACATTTCAAATTTTTCACAAAACACTTTATACCGAAGAAATTAATAAAATGTGGTAACTTTCAGAAATAAATTAAATTAATGAGCTATGTTTTATGTTACTCAAACATAAGGAGAAAAATGGCAATATATGCAATTTTAACAATCAAAATATATTTTCCCAAGATTTGAGGTTTTCACGATGGTGACTATGAAGAAAGCCACATCCCAAAAATGGCTTTCTTCATATTTTTCCAAGATTACTGTCTTCTGGGACATGAAGCTACACAGAAGCAGTAGATGGTCCAGTCTCTTCCGTCCTCAAGGGGTAGCAGGTTCCTCTGAAATGTTGGTATCTGTCCAGCAAACAACATGGTGCCATATCCCAGAAGATATTTACTGCATTAAGAACTTCATATCTTTCATCTTTTTACAAGCTTCAGCCTTCTGAATACAGGTGTCTTACTTGGTGCTGTGCTGTACACGAATAAAT